TGTTCGCTATACATATTTCCCTGCCTTTAGTTGTTAGTTAATCGTATTTATTTGAAGGTAAATCACGGTCAACAATAATTAATTTATACATCACATTTCTATATTCTACATTGAGCTTAGACAATTTTGAAAGTAGATCTGATAACTTTAAACGAATAGAATCTGCAATTTTATCTAATGTATTATGATAATCATTACGCCTCGTAGAGGCACCTGAAGGTCTAGTTATATCAGCTTCGCTAATACTAGAACATATTTTTTCTACGTGAGTAATGGCATCTTTTCATAAATGGGAGATAATGGCTTCATCTTTTTTCGGTGCATCACGTAATTCTTTAATATAATTTTTAAGCCATTTTTTGGCTAACTTCTGTAACTCTTCATCTTTTATATTCCCTATTTTGTCTTCATCTAATTCCTTAACAATTTTTGATATCTTCTCCTTTGATTTCTTTTTGTGGTCTAAGGTTTTTAATAGAGATTTGGGTGATGGCTGGTATTTATCATCATAATTTATAAAACAGGCACAAAGGACAAATAAACTCTCGGTATAATAATCAATATTTATTTTCTTGTTAAATCTTTTTACCACATCTGAATATTCCATACAGTCTCCTTTTTTCTATGATATTTTTTTTTCCGCAATTATCATAAATCTTTTCGGGTACTACTACAATGTAACTAAATCGTTCACTGGGTTTGGGAACTTTATATAAATACTCATTGACAGGTAAACCCTTCTTTATAAGCTGTTAATTTTCCAATACCTCGTGACCATATCTAGCTCCCATTTGTGAAATAAACTGTTCTACAAAAATATTTCCCTACTTACCCTCCTTTTTAGGTCTCCATACACATGTCTGGATAAATTCATCATAATCTAACTTGAAAAGTTTTTCTACGTTTTCCCAAAGAACTTTTTCAACAATCTGATGAATCATTTTCCCATTATCGACTTTCAAAGTTCTATTCATAATTTCCTTACCTACATCACGGAAGAGCTTAGATTGACCTCTTTTTACGATATCCACTCCTTTAATGAAAAGTTTACCTGAATTGAAATTTGGCTCCTTTTTATACTCAAGACCATAGTATTTTTTCTTTCCTGTAAATACTACGGGAAATAAGACCTCCTCATATGCCATATTAAGATAAGGTGTTCCATTGTCCTTTTCAAGCTCTGTATTTACTTCATTACAGAAGTTTGCCATTACTTTCATAGAGATTTTTATCATTTCCTCCTAGTACTTTTCTTGTGAGAATTGATCTAATTTATATTTTCGATCACACTCCTGAAAACACTCTTCTGGGCATGTGAGATATAAAGAATCGGTATCTCCATATTTAACGTCAAATCCTTTATCTTCAACAAATTTAATATTACATCGTCTAGCGGAAGTAACTTCAACTACTAACTGAAGTTGATAGAATGGAGAGAGATTATTACTCGCTTCACCATAAAATGTATTCATATAAAATTTTATCATCTTTTGTTTTGAGTCTAAGCAACTATATTCAAAACTTTTCTCATCCAATTCATTGAGGCATTCTTTTATCTTCTTTCATTTATTGAATAGATTTTCCAATACCCTAGTATATAAACCCTTTTCTTCAGATATATTGTTGTGGCAAATAGACCAAGCTTCTATAGTTTGACCATTGAATAGAAACTCAATCTTGTGAAGCTTCTTTTCATCATGAAGTATATCTATAGCTTCTTCGCGGGATAGTATGATTTTATCTGGTGAAAGGTTGTATGTCATTATGAGACTTGGGTATAGGGAGGCAAAATCTAAACCTGTTACTGGACATTTGTTTTCCAGACTTTTTCACTGATCGAAAATTGATAAAACTTACACATATCAGGTACCCGATATGTGCATGGTGCGTCCCTAATATTGGGCATATATCGGGTACCCAATATGTGTAAAAAATATTTTTTTACATTTATCAGGTACCCGATATATATATAAAATATTTTCTACACATATCGGGTACCTGATATATGCCCGATATTAAGGACGCACCATGCACATATCGGGTACCCGATATGTGTATGTTTTATCAATTTTCGACCAGTGTTTATCGGTGTAATAACATAAGCTCCTGGATATTTATCAGATTCTGTATTTTCTGAAGCAATTATACTACATAACATATTACTGTTCCAAGCTTTAACTTCCAAAAGATTACATACTTTCATACCTTCCGTAAAATAATGAGAATCAGAAAGAGACACATATGCAATGGATGATACTTCCCTATAGTCATTAATTACATTATGCTTAACTATAAGCTCTTGGCATCGCCGTACATCTATAACACAATAATTTGCAACTTTACACATATTTTTAGCCAATGTATCAGAGGAGTGAAGTATTGCATCTTCATATATTTTGTTCATAGTAGTTATTGGCATATTCGTCTTGCTACCCAATTCACATTTTTCCAAATAATATTTCAGTGAACTTACTTCTGATTTCTGATATAACTTTTTGAAACAAGCACGAACATCAATAGGTATATATCCTGGGATTTTAAGATACTTCGAATAAAATTTTTCATCATCTATCTTTATCTCACTTTTTCGATATTTCTATTTTATAATTTCTTCAATGTTAGATGAGTTGGGTGACATGTGATTAAACATCCATTCAAGGATACCTAAACTTTTAGCTTTTTTTATAATGAAAGGCCAGTCATACTGCGAATCATTAAACCCGATTTATATATCAGGAGCTAAATGTTTTTAACATAACGCAAATGCCTTCAGTAAGTTGATCTGATTTTCACATATTATTGTAATCCATCTAGGATTTGGTTCCGTTTCTACATCAACTAAACATATTTGCAACAGTGAATTGAAATCATCTTTCCAATGAACTGTCATACAAATCATAAATACTTGATCCTCTTCATTTCTTGCATTAGGTAAATCCTCCATTTTCTGTTCACTATATGTTTTTATATCCCAGGTAAGAACAAGAGTTCTGTCATATGAGAGAACTTTGGAAATTATTAGATCATTTGATTTATTATCCTCTAAAGACCGATAATTATCTACAGATACGCGAAATGAATATGAATAATGTGATAAATTTGTATTAGAAATACAATAATAATCATTTAATATTGCCTACTCAGAAAGAGGTAACTTCTTTTCACGAGCTATTTTTCGATAATAATGTACGTTGGTAATATTATCTGATGCTGTTTCAATACCATACTTACGTACCTCTTTTAAAATTCGTGTTCTATCATAATGATTTCACGTAGTGATGCGAATGTATGCCTTTTTCTTGGTATGGTAACTACGAATTGGGTACGCGTTGATGTCTTTCACTTCAAACTTCGATTTATCAATCTTTTCCGCTCCTGAAATAATTTTTACTAATCTTGGTTTGAATATAGATAAAGGTTTGTTATCAGGCACAAGGATATCAAAGAAAGGTTTGATACCTATAATATCTACCCTAGCCTTTTGCCCATTAATCAAAGTACTGTAAATATGTAGAATATATGTAGATATATTTTTTACATACTCAGTAACGTCATTCACATCATTAGGCATGAAGTATATAAGCTGGTTATTGGATAAGCTTTGTTGAAGTATAACCGTTAACTCATTGCGAGTTGGAATTCCAGGTAAGCTTTCTCCGCCCCCGTACCAGGTCACTTGTGCGCTGTGTGTTTTCATTTTTTTTATTGGTGTATCAATCTTTGTTTGATTATATCATTGCAATATAGTTTGAAAAAGTTTAAATTAATTTTTCAATGGATAGTAAATATCATCAAAAAAATTGTATCAAGTTTTAGTAAAATAAACGTGAAGGACCGCGTATTCAATAATCAAGTAATTCTATGGGTCGGTGAAGTAATCTTCAGTAATATATTATATATAAAATGGAAGAACACTTCACTTTTTGATAACATGTTTTCAGATATGTTTGCGGGTATGTGACCATGGTAAGTAAATGCGTTAATAATATATAGTGGAGCCAGTGTCTTTGACACATAAGGAAAATCGCAGAAACTACCCATTCAATGATATGTTTTTGGATAGGTCAAGGTGAAGTAATCTTCAGCAATATTATATAATAAATATAGAAGAACACTTCACTTTTGAGGACATGTTTTCGGGTAGGTCAAGGTGAAGTAATCTTCGGTAATATTATATATAAATTTGGAAGAACACTACACTTTTAGCATATATACTTTCGGACATGTTTTCTCATATGTGAATGGGTTTGATAACATTTATAAGATATATATCCGCCTTCTTACATATATACTTGAAGTATCTCTATGGGCATTCATTATTTCCTCATAATTCTTTTTTGTGCATTTGATCGAAGTTTATCATAGTATTCTCTAGTATGTAAAGGACAACGACCAGAAATTGATCCGGTAGGTTTACCATAGTCAGAGTATGGTACTATTCTTTTAGTTTTCTGATAATTACATTCCTCAGGTTCTATATAGGTATTTTCACAAATTTCACTGGGATCATGACCGAATAGACAAGTACATTCACGCATTATTTTTTATTATATAAAAATAAAAATCTTTAGGTGATAAAAATGTAACTAAGACGTAACTAGGATACAATTTGATAGTATGACCTGATAGCATTTTCACGATATACTTGACAACATGTATGTATTCGATGGTATGAAATATGGCTTGATAACATGTATGGAATATACTCGATAACGTGTTTGCAATATAACCAATAGCAAATACTTTCACTGTCAATCTTCACAAATGACAACACGCGACTGAATACATCGTCAGATATATTTTTTTACCCATGTGGCTAACTTTTGTCATCAGACCACATATCTGACCAGGAATAACCTAAGTACACACACTCTCCAGCATAACCTACCTCGGGAAGCTCCTTATATTCGAAATCAAATATAACCACCATATACTATACAATTTTTGATATCGAATTTAATAATCTAGAAGTTATAAAACATTATACAGAGTAGTCGCACGTGCAACTTTATAACCTAAATCGGGAAGCTTACTAGTTTTAAAACTAACCACGAATGCCAAATGGTATACAATGTGTCATATACGATCTGATAACAGAAATCAGCTAGATTACTGGCCTGATATATATCCGTTCGAGTGTGGCCTAAAAAATATATCATGCCACTGACGATGGTGGCCAACTTTTGTCATCAGACCACATGACGACGGTGGCCACTTTCAGTCGTCAAGTCACATACCCGAGTGGAAATAACCTAAACTAAGTGGAAATAACATAATTATGTTATTTCCACTTTCCAAGCAACTATTACCAATTTTATGTCATGGAAACAATGTCTATTCTTGTTATATCACATCACAGAATAAATGAATAACTAATTGAGAAAAATGAAGTTCAAATGAGATCATGTGAAGAAAATTTGACCAGAAAAAAAAAGATAAAAAAAAATGAGAAAATGAAAGGATGAATAAAAAAGATAAGTCTAAAGTTACTATTGATATTTTTATCATTTTATTTTATATTTTTTATGAATTTTATAAATTTCAAACGTTCTTGTTGTGTTTCAATTTTGTGAAAATCAAAAATAATTATAATTATATCGTAAAAGATTGATTAATATTTCATTAAACTAATAAAACAGTGGAAACAAATTTAAAATAACAATACAGTAAATTGAAAAATTACATGGAAAATATACAATAATTAATTTTATAATCTTTCTATCTTTTGTATATTTTCATGTTATTCCTGACCCAAAGAATATTATTAATTAATTAACTATTTGGCATTGAAGTGTAAAAGTGTTGATTATTCGTTTTCTATTTCAAATATATATAATAGAAGATTTTGTTTAAGTATATAAGTATAAAAAAATTTAAAAATATAAAGAATTTAAAAATATATAAAATATATAAAATACACAATATTAAATAAAGATTTTACCTTCCACCATTTTTCCAAGAATGGTTTTGCAATTGCAGCAATGAGTAATCCACTTGTTAAGAAAATATAAAAATATACTATCACTTCATCTTTATATGAATCCCTACCTGAATTTTTTATAAATTTTTTATGAATTTTATGAAATAAATAATTTAAATATTAATAATAATTATATTTTAGGTAAAACAAAAAAATAATAAATATTAATTATAATAATAACTCACTGAAACATGTAGCCGTCAATTCAATCTCACAACCTTCTTTCCATTTACTATTCCCATTTCCCGAATCTTCTAAACTACTATTAGCTCCTGTACAATTATTACCCATTATACCTATACAAAAAGCTTTATTACAATCTAAACAAAATTTTTCAGGTTCTAAAGCTTGAATAGTTGAATTTTCGGCACATACACATTTACAAAAAGAAGTAACATTGGCGGATTCGGTGATAGGTGTTATCGTTGTTAAAATAACAATAATTAATATGACTTGTATCGTTATCGTAAGTGAATATTTTAATCGTAACATTTTGTTATTTTTTAATGTAGTTATAAAAAATATAACTAATTTTTAATATCACTTCGAGAGAGAGATTCTTGTCTTTACTTCCTAAAAGAATTAGTGAACTTATGGATCACATGTTATTTTTTGTATAACCTAATAATTAATAAATCAGTGACGAACACATACAGCTTCGTAAATGTTTTGTTGAATAAAAAAATGTCTGAAGGAGATGATAATAAAACAATTCAACAAGAAGAAATTCTTGCTTTAACATCAATTTTCGGTTCAGATATATTTCAACTTGATCCTCAAGATTCATTAAATCAATCATATTTATTTAAATTATCTTTAGAATCCGATATTTCAAGTACTACTTCATCAGAATATCGTTCACATTCTAAAAATTTTATTACAATAAAATTTCAATTTCCCAATGAATATCCTTCAACCTCTCCACCAAATTATAAAATTACAAGTTTATATTGTGGAACTTTAAAAATCGATAAAATAATAAAAAATGAGGTTGATAAAAAATTTAAAGAATTATTTATTCCAGGACAAGTAATTATATTTGAATGGATTGAATGGTTAAGAGAATTTTTAATACAAAAACTGATTGAACATCAATCTTGTAATAATCTCAATAATCTTAATTTCATAGATAATAATAATGATGATGAAAATAATAATAATAATTTAAGAGAAATCAAAGAAGTTGAAAAAAACAAAGAAAGAAAACATCAAGAAGAAAAAGTAGAAGAAATAAAAATAAATAAAATAGATGATAATCATCAAAAAATATCAATAAATTGTCCAGAAATAATATCAGGTGAATCATTAGAACATAAGAGATCGGTATTTGTAGCACATTTAGCACCAGTAAATAATATATCAGAAGTTAATCTTGTAAGAGAAACATTAATGTTAAATAAAAAGGTTGCTAAAGCTACTCATAATATTATGGCTTATAGAATTATAAGAGATGATGGGATATTAATACAAGGTAATTTAATTATTTATTATTATAATTTAATTATTTAAAATTTAATTATTAATTATTTATTTAATTATTATATTTATAATTTATTTATTTTTTTAATTATTTATTTTTTATAATTTATTTATTTTTTTTTTTATAATTTATTTATTCTTATAATTATTTGTTCTTATAATTTAATTATAATTTAATTAATTATTTATAGATAATGATGATGATGGAGAAACAGCAGCAGGAGGAAGATTACTTCATTTATTACAACTTGTTAATGCAAAAAATATCATAGTAATAGTTTCTCGATGGTATGGTGGAATTCAATTAGGAGCAGGTTAATTTTAATTTATTATTATTATTATCATTATTATTATTATTATTATTTATTATTTATTATTTATTAATTTATTTTTGTTTGATTGTTTAAAACATATTCACACATTTTTATTGTTTTTTTTTTTAATAGATCGGTTTAAAGATATAAATAATGTTGCAAGAGATTTACTTGAGAAATGTGGATATGTTAACGGTGGTAATGGTAGTGTTGGTAAAAATGGTAATAAAAGTGGAGGAGGAGATAATAAAAAGACCAAAAAGAAATAAAATTTTGTTTTTTTTTATGATTACAAAATTCAAAATTATTTTAGAATAAATTATTTAAAATAAATTAAATTAGAATAAATATTTAATAAATTAAATAGAATATATCTTATTAAATATAAATAAATTAATAATTAATTAATTAAATTAAAATAAATTAAATAGAATTAATAATAATTAAATAATTAAAATAATAATAAATTTAATAAATTAAAATAAAATTAAATAAATTTATAATAAAATAAAATAAATAATAAAATATTCACAAGAAAACTACAAAAACATCAGTCAAATGATCAAATTCTTTAGTATACCCGGATATTATATCAGTAAGTTTTAATCCTCCAACTCTTTGTAATCCTGGACTTAATGGAAAAAATTCTAATTCAAATTCAATAATTCCATCAGAAATTATTTCACCTAACATTTCAGAACTTTGTCCACTTAATAATATTGATCCCATTTTATTCTTTATGGCAGATATTATAACTTTTATTGTTGAGGTAGTTCGATTTCTTATTCTACATCCTAATTTAAATGGAATTTCTAATTGTATTATTGATGGAATTGAAATTACTGATAATTCTATTTCATCAAGTATTGGTGATTTTCTGGTTAATTGTGATGTTTGTAATCTTCCGGTTTCTCCTAAATGTGATCGCCAAATTATGTCTAATTTTCCTAAAGCATTTGCTGTACGTCCTAATCTATCATCTATTTCTGGTTTAGGTTTTAACATATATAAATATTGTCGAATATCTTGAGGATTTAAATAACTATTATTTCCAAAAACACTTTCCTTTTCTTCTTCTTCTTCTTCTTCTTCTATATTCTCTAATACATTCTCCACTATATCCTCTCTTATATCCCCTTTTATATTTTCTATTATATTCTCTTTTATATTCTCTACTATATTCTTCTTTATATTTTCTTCTTTATTCTCTTCTTGATTATCGTTAATTTTATTATTCTCATTCTGTTTATTCTGATTAAAAATGTTATTATCTTCATTATCTATATTACTTCCACTCATAAATTCCCCAAATTCATCGTTTTCACCACCATCATCAATATTATTATCATTCTCATTATTACCTTTAATATCACCCACATCACCAACGTTATCATCAACATAATTATCATCAACATAATTATCATCAACATAATTATCATCAACATAATTATCACCAACATCGCCACCATCTTCATCTTCATCTTCATCTTCAATCTTATCTTTAACAACATAATTTAAATCCTGATAATTAAAAATTTCTCCCGGTTCAAAATTCATTCTTTCTAAATACATATATCTTTCTGATACATTTTGTATTTGAACTTCTAAAAATACAGTTCCATCTCCCATATTATTAGCTTTGGTTTTTACCGCAAAAGGATTAAATACTTGAAATCTATAATATTTTCTAAATAATCTTTTTATTCCTTCATTCGCTGCAACATATTGTAATGTACAAACTAAATTATGTATCCCTAATTCTTTAATTTCATGCCTTATAATAAATTCTTGAGTTTTACTCGGTTCCATTGGTGTTATTATTGAATCCACAATGGAATCTGTGGAAGGTGTAGGTGTATTGGTAGTGGTAGAAGTCAAGCTGGAAATAATATTGGAAGTCATGTTGGAAGTCATGCTGGAAGTCATGCTGGTAGTCATGCTAGAAGTTATACTAGAAGTCATACTGGGGGAAGTCGTGATATTGGGAGAAGATAATGAAGAAGAAGAAGAAGATGATGATTTATCTAATAATATTAATCGTTGAGATGATGTTTGTAATTCTACTTTAATACCAATATCATGAACATGATATTTTGATTCATTGGTTATTGTTATATAACTATCAAACGTTGCTCCTAAATAAATATTATCAGTATATTTATCCTTATTAATGTTATTATTAGTAATAATCCCACCACTAATAAGTAATTCACTTTCGGAAATATCTTTCATAAATATTTTAGTAGGTGGTTTTTGACCTGCTAAAGGATCGATAATATTATCTGTTGAAGAAGAAGAATTGAAGGTGGAAGTGGTGGTTTTGGTATGAATTGGATTTGATAAACGCATTACCTTTAAACTAAGGTAATGTTGTTCGTATGGTAAGTCCATGTTAATAGCTGACAGTCTCATATTAATATTGGAAGACATGATTTTTTTTTTAAAAATTCCCTTGTTATATAATAATCTTGCGTGTTTGAAGATTTGAAATTATAATATATGTATATTTTAATTAAAAAAAAAAAAAAATTTAACCACCATTTCCAATTTTAGAATTTCTTGTTAAAATTATTTCTTTGATAAAAATGTAATTTCGAGGCTTCACTATACTTGACGACGTGTCCGAGCGGTTAAGGAGTGTGACTAGAAATCACATGGGCTATGCCCGCACAGGTTCAAATCCTGTCGTCGTCGACACAAATAACTCTAATTTTTTAGTATTCAATATATAAATTGGATAATTTGTATTAAAAAATCAAAGATTCTTTATTATAATTTAATTGATGTAATTTATACAAATGAAAAATCTAGTTCCTAATTTTTTTTTTTTTTATTGAAACAGAAACGAGACAAATTCGCGATCACACAAATCTCCCAATCAAAAATTCAAAATTCAAAAAATTTATTCTAAATAATATTAATAATTTATGATACAAAAACAAATAAAAAATAAATAATGAATAAATAATAAATTAATAATAAATTAATAATAAATTAATAATGAATAAATGAATAAATGCGATAATTAAATGAAAAATTAAGTGAAAAAAAAAGATCCAAGGCATATTCTGACAATTAAAATATCATATTAATTTGATTAATTTGGGAACAAAAATAAATCATCACGATTTGAATAACTTACGAAATTTGTATAACAAATATAAATTCTTATAAATATCTATTAATATGTCTCAGATATCAAAAATGTCTCATATGTGTGTGCATATATAACTTATTTAAATATTCTTCCTATACCTTGACATTGCGAACATAATAATTTTTCAAATAAAAATTTCTCTCTTCCTTTACCTAAAATAATAATAATAATAATAATGAATAAATATGATATATATGATACGAATGAATTATTGAAAAAAAATTTTTAAAGATAATAATAATGATAATTATAATTATTTTTAATGATTATTTAATTTAAAATTCAAAAATTTACCTTTACAAGTTGGACAAGTCCGACCTCCAATAGTCGGATCACCTGGTCTGAGATAAATTACTCCACCTCCTCCATAACCACCAAAACCATTACCATGAATCATAGAAGTCGATGGAATAGGAGGAATACCAGAAGGCGATGGTGGTAAAGGTGGATATACTTGATGATGATGATATGGATATGTTGCGTGTGTTGATGATGATGATGATGATGACGGTGATGGCGTACCAAATAATTTTAAACATTGTTGACAAATCATTCCGGGTCTTTCATATCCTGTACAATTACAAATTGGACAAATATAACCAGCCGGATAATGAATTTCTGCAGAAGTAATCGGAGAAATTGGATGAATCGATGGATAAACAATAGTATTTGGACAATAATAAACTTGTGGTTGCGGAGGTTGATAAGGAGTTTCTCCATATATTCGATTAGGTCCAAATAACATTGACGTTTCTCCTGAATTTGGATATGGTGTATAAGCGGGTGGAGCTTCTTCGTTTATAACATCATTTAAAGAATTTATAGGAGCATTCTGATTAGGTGTTTGAGACATTTTCAAATATATATATATATAAACTATGAAAAAACTATTATAAACTATATGAAAAACTGTTATAAACTGTATTTAAAACTTGTTATAAACTAAATGCAAAACTGTTCCAAACTTTATATAACTTGTATATAACTACTTGTACATATACTTATGAATATACTTAAATTGTAAAAAAAAAGAGAAATGTAAACGAATGTTCTCTGATCAAGTTACACATTATTAATGCTTTAAATGATATATTTGTCATACAAACTATTTATAATATTTTTATATTTTTGCACATATGCAATACGTATTGATGAAGTAAATTCAAATTAAAAATTCAAACTGATTTACTTCTTTTACTTCATCTTTTTCTTTTACTTCTTTCACTTTTATAGGTTTATGATTTCCCATAAACCATGAAAAGATAAAACACATTATGCATATAGGTATAAAAAATATAAATGCCTTTTCTATTGCAGTAACAAAAGCATGAATTACAGATTTTTTAATGGGTTCAGGTAATTCATTTATTTTACTAGCGGATCCTTTTATGTCTTGAACTGTTAGTGGAAGTGGAATTTGTATTTTATTAAGATCTTGTATTAAACTGTTATTAAATATTGCTCCTAAAAATTATGTTATGAAAAATTGTTGTGAATTTTTTGTGAATTGTGAAAAAATTATGAGAAATTATTGAAAATTTACCTGCTATTGCAATACCAAATATTCCCCCAACTTTATGAAAATATATATATATATACATATGTTATTAAATATGATAACTGTTTCCAAAAAAAAAACAAAAAAACAAAAAAAAAATACCAAAAATTTAAATTATTAATTCTTACGTGTTCTAAAGAATATTATTAAAGCACTAACTGTAGCCACATCTTTAATTTCTGTTACGCTTTGAGAACAAAGTAAAGTAGGTTGAAATATAAACCCTGTCCCCAAACCTGCAATTATCATATATCCTATTTGTGCACCAATATTTGAATCTTCCGTCCAAGTAGTAATTAATCCTACTCCAATTGCCATTAAAGAAGATCCTAAAACCGCAATTGTTCTAAATGATATTTTGTCAGTACGTGAAAGTAGTTGTCCTGAACCTACTGAGGCGGATGATACTCCCAGAACAAATGGAATTGTTTCTATCCCCGATTTTGTGGCTGAAAATAAATTATAATAAATTATAAATAATATAAAATTATAAATTGTATAAATAATATTAAATTGCATAAATAATAAAATTACATACCAGAATCTCCTTTGACTACTTGGAAAAATAATGGAAGATAAAACGCAATTCTACAAAAGAAATGGAATCAAACAATTTGATTTTATGTCAAATATAACTAACATCATCAGACTGGAGAAAGGTAAGCCTACCCATAGAAGACCATTCCTTGTGTTATATTTACAAGATAACAAGCATTAACATTCCTAATTTTAAATATATGCGCTATTTACATGTAAAATAACATCAAAATAAATTATTAATTAAAAAAAAAAAAAGGATTTTTAAAATTTTATATTTATAAAAAAATATCTCAATAATTTTATAAAACGTACATGGCATCACAGGTTCAACTGCAAATTTAATTTCCACCAAAATAAATATAAAATATCCAAGGATACCAATGACTAATGGTACAATTATCAGAGGAGAATTCCATGAGTGAACACTTCCTCCCAAATTTAATGGTAATAATATACTAGTAGTAGATGCCACAATTAATCCTGTACCAATAAAATCAATTCTTTTAAATTTTTCAATTAATGATCCTGTTGTTTGGGGAAGATGTAGAAAGAATATTACTATCGCTAATACCATCAATCCTAACGGTAGATTTATATAGAAACACCATCTTTTTTTTTTTTGAAAAGAAAATATTAAATTATTTAAATAAAAATAAAAAATAAGGAAAATAAAATAAAAATGATTTCTGAACTTAAATTTAACGCGTTTTTTCAATACATACCTCCAAGTAACGTGATCCGTAAAAATTCCACCTATTAGTGGGCCAATTATTGAACTAATACTGAAAATCGCACCAATTAAACCTTTTATTAAATAAAATAAATTTATAATAAAATTAAAAATAAAAGATAAAATAAAAAAATCAAGTAAAAAAAAATAAAGAAATATTTACCTAAATATTTTCCTCTTTCATTGATAGGTACGATATCTGCAATTATAATTACTACGAGGCTAAAATTTTCCAAAAAATAGTAAATTAAAAAAATAAAATAAAATAAAATATTTATAACATGAAAAACAAATATTAATATTCTTTTACCCAATTATACCACCACCGCCAATGCCAGAAATGGCACGAAATATAATCAATGAAATCTAAAAAAAAAAAATAATAATAATAATGATTAATTAAATTTATTAATTGAATTTTTTTGAATTCATTATTTTGAATCAATAGATTGATTTTTTAAAATACCATATTCCAAGAAAGACCGCATAACATGCTTCCAAATACAAATAATAAAATTGAAAAAAGGAAAGTATTTTTACGACCAAAAATATCAGAGAATTTGCCATAAATTGGTTGAAATGCTGTCTGTATTTTTAAAACTTAAAAGTCAAAATTTGATAAATCTTGCACGTGAAAAATTAATATAAAAAAAAAACTTACCCCTGTGATAAAATAAGAAGTTCCAACCCAAGAGATAGAACCTAAAGAATTGAAATCGGAAGCGATTCTTGGTCTAGAATAAAAAGTAAATTATATTGAATAGATAGTTTGAATAGAAACAAAAAAGGTCAAAGAATTGAACAAAACATACAATGCAGTCGCCACAATTAATTGATCTAATGTTGCTAAAAATACTGAAGATGCAAGACTATCAGCGAACGAAATTGAAATAATTTAATTAATTATTAATTTTATAAAAATATGTAAAAATATTACACGTTAAAAAAATAATAATTTTTTACCCGAAAAAGATTAACACAAATTCAAATTTTTTAAATTTTCTCAATGGTGCATTCACGTTATTGATTTTTTTATCATTATTACTATTATTATTACTATTATTACTATTATTACTATTATTACTATTATTATTACTATTATTATTACTATTATTATTACTATTATTATTACTATTATTATTATTATTACTATTATTACTATTATTATTACTATTACTATTTTTACTATTACTATCATTATTATTATTATTGTCTAAATTGTTTGTTTTCGAACTATCGTTAATTGTACAAACTTCTTCGTTTTCGTTAATATTAATGATAATGATACTCTTTTCAATCTCTTCATTACGTGGAATAGTTATAATTGAATATCTCTCTATTTCCACCTCTGAAGTAACAGAATTTTCCATTTTTTCCGTTATCCTGCTTTTTATTATATATAATATTATATTATATTATTATTATTATTATTATTTTGTCTTCAAATGAGAGTAATAAATTGGATTTGAGGTTTTTTTTGTTTCCTTTCATTTTTAATGCGGCCATTTTTATTTCTTCCAGTTTAAAATTTACTTTTAACAATATTAATATATAGGATTAAAAGGTTGGTTGATGATATCCTATTATTATTTCATTTAACATTAAAGAAAAAAATTATCCAGAATACAAAATTATTGAAATCATTATATTATTATATTAATATGGTATCTTTTATAAAAATTTTGTTCTAATTTTATTATAAGTTTGAACATCATTTCATTTAAATTAAAAATTTTATTATTAATTATGAAATATTTCCGTATTTATTTGTTATTTTCTCGTGTCAAAATTAATGCAAATTGTTGATGAATTTGATGAATTAATCGCTTTAGTCATATGATAGGTCAACAAAAATTTTTTCTTTTTTTTGAAAGGTTAAATGTCATTTAAATTAAAAAAAAAAAAAAATATTAAACTAAATAAAAATAAGGACAGGATCATAAAATTTTCTAATCAGGTTAGTTCCGGACAACAACAAATATTATATTATTATCGGTTATTGTTATCCTCAAAAAGTAAATCCTATTCAGATTATTTCATTAATTTTCATTATTTTAAATCGTTATTGTGATTTCATGATTCTTCCTGATATTTTCGGGTATATTAACGAGTATTTTAAATGATACTGATATGTCGAAATTTAATTGGCTAAATATTACAAACAAGATACACAAGATTTTTTATGATAATCTTTTTACTATTGTCGACTATAAAAAACATCGCGAGCCTTAACGTGAAATTTATATATATATATTTATAAAGATCGTGTTTAAAAATTTTGTATAAATAAAAAACTTTCTACGCAATCTTTAATATATCAATTAATCAATTAAAAGTTTTATTTAAAGTGGTTACCTTAATAATCTCAATTTTAAATGAAAATAAAGTTATTAGTAAAAGAGTTGACGTCACTAAAGAACGTTAACGTTGTTAACGTGAAAATTTTCGAGTGTTTTCATACAAAAAAAAAAAAAAAAAACCAGAACAAGTCCGGTAAAAATGTTAAATAATTATTGAAAATTATTTAAATGACTTAATTCAGAAAAATGAAAAGATAGAATATGGTAAAATATGATGTCAAAACCGTAAGAAAGTCACGTAATAAGCGCCATTAATCATTAAGATCATGGAAGAAACGATGAAAAACAATAACATTCATAATCTAAGCATCAAAAACACGTAATCAACTAAGATAATTAAAGTCACCAAATGGGTAATGCATTGAAAAAAAAACAAATATCTTTATATGTACTTTAAATATTTTGCATTTCAATAATTCAATATATTTTATAATTTCAACAGTAAAAAAAAAATCACGCAAATTTTTAAGAACCAAAACCTAAGTTGTTTATTTCTAGAAGTTAAGAAATTGACAAAAATGGTAAGATTTGGACCTCCTTTTTTTTTTTCTCTCTAGACAATAAACCAAAAAGAATGAACGTGAGAATAAAAATGGGAACTGAATTATCCCAAAACAAATTAAAAAAAAAATTGAAAATAAAAACAAATTCGAAAGAAAAAAAAAAAAAAAAATTAGAACCGTTTTGAAACCTAAATAAAAAAAAAAAAAAAAAATTATAAAGAACCTTTGAAAATAAAACTATTTAAAAAAGTAAAACCATAAAAAAAAACCCATAGAAAATTTCCTAGAAAAAGCCATAAAAAAAAACCCATAAAAAAACATACAAAATTTTTTTTCCATATTTTTTATATATATTAAAAAAAATAACATATATACTAACTCAAAATTTTTTAAAACCTAATTAAAAACCACTTAGAAACACCAAAAACTATAAGAAATGAGAAAAATTAAAAAAAAAAAAAAGAACGCTCCCGGCTACTACTACTATAAAAAAAAAAAAAACCAAAGAAAATTTCAAGAAGACCCCGATTAGAGTAGTAGTAGTAACCCTTTTTTTTAAAAAAATAAAAAGTATTTTTTTTTTGTGTTTTGTGGTTTTTTTACTTTTTTTTTGTATTTTTTAAAAATAATTTTTGTTATATATTAGTTTGAAGTTTCAATTGTCAATAAATTGTTAAGGGTTTGCACAAAAATCACTAATTTTTTCATGATGTCAAAAAAAAGAAAATTTAAACTTATTTTAGCATAACTTTGTGTTAATTGTTGATAGGAATTTAGTAAGAACCGTTCGTTGCCATTTTCTTTTTTTTTGTTAAAAGAAAGAAAAAAAAAAATCCAGGTAACTATATCAATCCATACCCAGATAGACAAATAGATAGATAGAGAGATATATAAGTGTTGTCATTTACATCTAAAGATTATTTCTAAAGGAGGTGATTTCTAGATGATTTCTAAAGATGATGATGAGTTGAATCAAAAGCCACCCAAATAAATGATAATTTATAACGAACGGTTTTTCTGAAGAAAACAAAACAAAAAAAAAAAAGTCAAAACAAGAAAAAATCAATCCAATTCTACATGTATGGGAAATAAATAAAATAAATATATATACAAGAAAGAGTTTTCAATGTATATAAAAAAAAGATCAAGAAGATCAAGTATGATATGAAAAAGAGAAAAAAAAGAAATATATTTATGTTCCAAGCAAAAGGAAAAAAAAAGGGAGTAAATATCAATAGAATGCAAATGCATGGAACATAATGAAACAAAATGAAAAACAAAAAAAGTACAACCAAAATGATAAAATGAAATGGGATTGATTTTTTCTTAATAACGAAATTTTTTCTAAATTCCTATCGAATCACATTAAAAAAAAATATTAAAAAGGAAAAAAAAAAAGAAATAGTATAGAACATAAAAAGGAAGAAAAAATGAAAAACAGGTTTTGGTGTCATTATAGTAAGAATGCATTATACTTTTTTTTTCAAGTATGAGGTTAACAAGTCATCCAAAATAAATCCAAATCCAAAATAAATATATCCAAAAATATAAAAAAAATATATTCAAAATAAATATTTCACGTTCAAAGATATTAAATTTCATCATCTACTAGAAGTTGGAATCGTATATGGACCTGAGGATAAGGAAGGGTCAATAACATAATATAAATCATTGGTAATATCCGAAACTTCAAATTCACCACCAAAATTTGGAGACTGTGAAGACTCATCAGTAAAAGGTTGAACTGGTGAAACAGGTGAAGGAGGGTAAAAATTTGTTGAATGATGAATTGTTGAAGTATCTTGATTTTCTAATGCAGGAGAGAATGAAAAAGGTTGATGATCATAAAAATGTCTCCTGATACAATTTGGGCAAGTTGGTGAAAATGACAACGCGTTCTCGGAACAAGGGGTATCTAAAGCAGGTGAAGGAGGTAATTGTCCAATAATTGATGATTCCGGAAATGTAATCCCTAAATCTTCACATGTTATAATATTTGATGTTGAAGAAATATGAGATTGTTGAATTGTATCTCTAAGTGAAGATGATTCATTATTATTAAATTTAGAAGGCCATGGAAAGTATGATGTCTCCGGAATATACCAATTCCCTTGTTGTTGTTGTTGTTGTTTTATTAAGTGAGTGTCAAATGTTGGTTGTTCGTTTATATTAGTTGTTATATTATTGGTTGTAATATTAATATTATTATTATTATTATTATTATTATTATTATTATTAATATTATTATTGTTATTGTTATTATTGTTATGATTGATGGAAAGATTATGATGTACTTCCTCTAAAGAATTCCTTGATCTTGTAATGGATGATGATGATAATGTTGTTGTTCTAGGAAATCCTTTTAATTCTAAAAATGTTGGTGATGGTGATTCCAATAATCTATTATATTCTGAGACAATGTCTTCATATTTGGTGAAATTATTATTAATTAAAGTTCTTGTGATATCATTATTTTTTCTTGGAGTTGTCATAATATTTGTATCTTGAGAAGAAAAATCATTAAATGTTGGATGGCGTTGTTGAGACGGAAATTTGTATTTTATTTCGGGTTGCGCGTTTGCTGCTACACGCACATACAATTTTTCCGCTTCACTTGAAAGTTGAGTATATGCATCTTTAACATATTCAGGTTCTTGTTTCCAAGAAGCCGCAATCATGGGAGATAATTCAGTCATGGAAAGATGAAGGTCTTTCGATTTAAGATAATGAACATATTCATTTCTGTACATTATAAAAGCATTAGGAAATCGTGCCAGCTTTGGTTTAGAAGCAAGTTTTGCCACCATTTTTTGTAGGTCAATTTCTGGAGGATAAGGAAGCGGTAATGGTGGCAAACATCCTCGCGGTTTATTTATCGTTAATTTGATCTTTTGTTGACCGCGTTGCATAAGACCGTTCTTCTTTTGAGTATCAACACGCTTCCTTGTCTGTTTCATGGTATGAGTCATCATCATCATTATATTTTTGTTTTGACGTTACCCAAAATATGAATTAAAAATATTTACACTCAAAAAGAAGAAAAAAAAAGCTGGAACAATTTTTTTTTTTTAAACAAAAAAAAAACACGGTGAGTGCAGCAAGTTAGTATTATGGCCTTATTTAACTCCGAAATCTTGATTGAAAATGATTGTTATTGGATGAATTAATGTATGACACACCCTGTAATTATATAATATAAAAAATTATTTGAGCGGAATTATTGTATATATTTATATATACCCTAATATAATTATATTATTATTATTATTTTTTTTTTTTTTTTGTATTTTTTTTTACAACATAAAAAGAACACAACCAAACAATCATCCCTCGTCTATCTTTAGTATAGTGTGTTTTATTTATTATAAATATAGATGAAATCTATTTATAAAACTTGGCGACCGATCAATTACTTCATATAGGGAAGCACGCATTTTTATCGAACAGTAGGTCCAGTAGGACAATGGTCTTAGCCGACACTAAAAAGAGGTTTCAAAGTAGTACCACCTGTATCTCCTTATAGAAACATTATAAACATTATGTAGAAAAAATAGATAGAAAGGTAATTTTAATATATTTTTCTTCCGTTTTAATTGAATCATTAAAATAAATACTCGTGGACTTTTTATTTCACTTACATTTTAAACTTTTTTTTTTTTTAATTTATTTAATTAACTTAAGAGAACTATAAAAAGGATAATGCGCGATAGATCGATAAACATTGTTACACTATACCGACAAATGATATATTTCCTTCATTTTTTACTTTTAATTGTTCACAATCCTAAATTAATCATTTTCATTTTAATCATTTGGTTTTTTATTTTTCTAAATTTGTCTAAGTGACGCCAAAATATATCATTATGAAAATAAAAATAAATCCTCTACAAAGATAATTGATAGAAACTTCTGTGCTAAATTTGCTTAATTTGTGTTTTATTGTTAATTCGTGTTTAATCGTGTGATTTATGCGATTTCGAAGAATGTACTACAAATTTTTATAATAATTTTTTTTTAAAAAAAATGTGTCAATGATTATTTTCTTTAACAGACTGATTTTCATTTTTCTAAATGATAATTGAGATTTTCAAGTACGTTTTTTTTTTTTAAAAAAAAAAAAAAAATAGAATTTCATTCTATGTATGTAACACGAGAGCTTTGAACTTTCAGATTGTTTTACCCGCAGAAAAAAAAAAACTCTTAGATTATATAATTATTTTTTGTTTTTTTTCGCGCCAAAATAATATGTTATGATTATAATAAACAAGTTTACCTTGTTATTTAACCGTTTTTTTTTAAACTTCAAAATGAGAAATAGAAATAATTCAAATTCTTTACCTTTATAAACCCGAATATTATTCCTTTCCAGGAATACAGTGCATTTTTTATGTATATAATCTATATAATAAAGAGTATGATATGTGTGTAGTGTAATAATAAAATGCAGTATAATTACATAACATGGTGTAAATGCAATGTAAATAAAGGATTAACTGTTTCTGTTACAGTTTAGAAAAATTATTATTAGAAACGAATTATTTTCTTTTTCTGTTATTGTAAGATTATATTTATAGATTTAGGGATACATACCTTAGAAAGAGAGAGCTTGAAAAAAAAAAAAATATTATATTTCTTTTTTTTGACAACCACATCCTTAATGCATTTCAATGCATCATTGACATGTTATAAGTAATATTCTTAAAAACTTTTCTTTTGTAAATTTTTAAATCTTTTTGTAATCTTAAATTTTTTTTTTTTTTTTTTTTTTTTTTTTGTAATCTTTGTAATCTTCTTTTATTATAATATCTATTTTATAATGAAATAACACTAAATATTTGATAAATATTATATTTAAATTTTTTACCTACTATGTAATTTTATGTAATTAAAAAAATTAAAATTAATTGTTGTGTAATGTTATGATTGTTAGATTCTCATGCTATTGCATGTTTATTTTTTTCATTAGAAAATTTTAAAATTTAAATAAAATTAAATTAAATTATCATCAAATGAAATTGAATTTAGAAAGAAGAAAGAACGAGGGAGAAAAAAGGGGGAAAATGGATTTACTATTTAATAATTTAATTTAATTTAATTATTTTAATCTATTTTAATTTATTTAACTTTAATTCATTTTTAATTTTATTTTAATTTAATAACCTTAAATTACATTACATTATTCATTTCAATTACTATAAATTATTATTATGCTTTGTTTATCTTTGTTTACAAATTGTTATTGATCATATTATTCATATTATTCATATTATTCGATTGAACGAAAAAATTTTTTATTATATTCTAATCAGGAAGATCTCAATCTACTTGCTTAATTTGAATTACTCAATCATTTATCATTTAAGACCCTTGTGAAAAATTACATCTTTGGAAATAACTAATTGAGATATGCAAAAAAAAAAAAATGTAATAATAATTCAACCAGATTTTTATTAGACAATGGAATCCTTTAAAATTCTATATTACAATAGTTACCAAATAAGAAATAAGAAACAATGCATAAAACGCCCTTTTTTATTATTATTATATTATTTCTTCAAACCTTTCGATCAATATTCACGTGATATCGGACTTATCCCGCCAACGACTCCCACTGGAGCATTTAATGCATTAATGTCTTTGAAGTCATGGGATGTTGACTAACCGTGGTAAAAATATATTAATTGCATAACGTGTTGAGTAATGAGCAGTTTCAATGAGAATTAAAAATTATAATTCTCACAATAAATAAATATACGTAGTTTATGAATATTAATTAAATATTAATGAAATATAAAATAGATGATAAAGATTTCTTATTTAAATGTTTTAATTCTTTAGATTCCAGATATTAAATCCTTTAGCCCTTCGATAATAATAAAAATTAGATTTATTATAATTATTAAATACATATCTGGTTAATCTTCTTAATTAATTTGTGTTTTATACAAGAAACGTCAATTGTTATAATAGAATAGAAATAGACAAATTTACTATACTTTTTAAATAAGTAATAAAAAATCAATAACATGTTACTTTTAAGATTCAAGATAAATAAATTTCTTTTAATTTAGAAAAAATTTTATTTACTATGTTTTTGGATTCAAATAAATATTATATTATACATGTCCCCCAATTTTTATTAATGGAATTGTCCGGTTCTTACTCGAATCGCGAATTTATCCATAATAATCATAATCTTAATAAATTTTTAATTTTGGCAAATTAATAAATATTCTCAATAAAACGAAGGATAAAAGTGGAGATTGATCAATTATCAAATATTTTCAAAGCATATATTGTTATTCAAAATTCAAAATGCGATAATTAAATTAAAAAATCACGCGCAATATATATATATATATATATACTGAATTTTATTATCGTAAAAGTGAGGGTCAGTAAAAATAATGATTGTTTTTTTTTTCAAAGAAGTAATATGAAAATAAAAAAATAAACGTAAAACCATAAATGTAATATTAATGTAAAATATTAATTAATGAAAGTTTTAAATTTTCTTTAGCAAAAATAAATAATTTTGTGACTCTATTTACTTTTTCTTCCAATCATAAATTTTATAAAGTTATAAAATATTATTAATCATTGCATCTTTGTACGTACGTTACAGATATACAATACATATAAATAAATTAATAAATAAGTAAATCAATAAATAATTTTCTATAAAGAATGTTCCGTTTAGAAGAATACCTAATTTTTTTTTGATTTCGTAGCGCAAAATGAATTATGGAAAAATGGATGAATTAAGGTTGACAGTAAAATTTTTAGATTTTGATTTAATTTTTTTTTTTAATTCACATCTTTTTATATTTACTTCTTTATTTATATTTACTTTATATTTACTTCGTTATATTTACTTCTTTATATTTACTTCTTTATATTTACTTCATCATCATCTTCACCCACCTTTATATTTTATTTCGTGTAAGTGGGTCATTAAAAGAAATTCATATCAATATTAACTTATTTTATTTGTTTGTTTTTATCGTGTTTTTAGAATATTAATAAGTATAAAGATGATTTATAATAATTGAACTGATAATAATAACTGATAGATAGTAACAGAAAAATTATCGTAAAATTATATTATTTGTAATATAATTGTGTTACACATTTTAATTACTTTTATGGCACATTACTTCTTCCATTAACTGACCATTAACTAACCATTAACTGTCCGTTAATTATCTGTAGTGAATTTTTACCCGATCTCATTTTTTTTTTAATTTATTACTATTTCTCATCTCTCACATCTTCTCATTTATTATTATTATTATTATTATTATTATTTATTTATTTATTTATTATTAATGCTTACGTTTATTGAATTTATTGATCATATATATATGCAAAACTTGGGATATTATTAATTGTAATTAAAATAATAATAATCATCATCATCCATCTTATTTTTCCCTATTATATAAAACATTTGTAAAAAATAGAGTTAAAAGAAATAATAATAATAATAAATATTAATAATAAATAATAATAATAATATATAAAATGTTTAATAATAAAATATAAACCATAAAATATTTAATATGATACATATAAAAATATACAATAATAAAATCAACCATAATCATATTATAAATAATCTGTAATATGTAAATATTTCAAAATCAATCCAGAAAAATTTGTTTGTTTCTTTGTTGTTATTGCTTGTTTTCTTATATCGATTTGATTCACCAATAAAAATTATGCGTGCTTATAAAAGAAATTTTTAAATAATTATTCTTATTTATATTATTTCCATTTCTTTTTTTTTTCTTCTTTTTTTTTTTTCTTTTTATTGTTATTATTTTTTTTCTATTATTTCTTTTTTATTTTTTTTTATTTATTTTATGACTATCGATAAATATTATAATCTAATCGACATCATCTTTCACAAGAGCATATCCATTCTATTCATTCCATTAACTCCATTAACTCTATTAATTCCATTCATTTCATTCATTCCATTCACTCCATTCATTCCATTCATTCCATTCACTCCATTCATTCCATTCATTCCATTCACTCCATTCATTCCATTCATTCCATTCATTCCATTCATTCCATTCATTCCATTAACACCAGTTGTTGATGTTGAAATCCCATTTACAACTCCATTACTAATTCCATTAAATCCATTTATATTACTAAAATGATTTTGAGTATTAAAATTATCATTTAATGCTCTTAACGTTGACATCACTTCAAATCTTTCTGTTAAACCTGTTGAATTTTGAATGGATGGATCCCTAATATATGAAAGATATGAAAGATGATTTTTATATATGATATGTTAAAATAACTACACTCATTATTTCTCATTATTATTTTCGTTATTAAACACAAAAGATTATACAAAATTATTCTAATTATATATGATATGAAATACTTACGTAACTCTCAAATAAGGATTATATTCTAATTCTTCTCCAATTGTACTAGGAACAGTACAATGTGTAGTTTGAGTCCATGATAACTTTTTCTATTATAATGTTAAAATTATATAATGTTAGAATTATATGATTTTGGAATTATATGATTTTAGAATTATATGATGTTAGAATTATATGATGTTAGAATTATATGATGTTAGAATTATATTATGTTAGAATTATATTATGTATATTATGAAATAACTTACGCGTAAATTATGATTATTAGGATCAACGGTGCTGGCAAACTAGAGTTATATATTTATAATATTTATAATATTTAATGTTAAATATAAATATGTATATATACAATCTCTCTCTCTCACTTTATCTCACATATATATATAAACATATATACACATATATATATATATTCATTCACCTGAAGATTGATAAGAGCGCTTTCGTGTCCGCTATAAACTTTGGTATCCAAAGGCAAGGATCCCAATATTGTATATAGCACATGATACATATCTTTAGCATCTCCTTCAACAAATCTTCCACATCCTCCTATACTCTCAAAACGCACACAAAAGATAATAATAATAATAATATATTTCAATTTTCAAATTCTACAACAATAATAACAACAACAACAAAATATATATATATATATAGAAATATAGATATATAATATTTATCAATTGTATTTACCGACTAATAATGTATCCCCAGTAAAAACAGCTTTTTCGATTTCTTCATTCATTTCATCTCCATCTCTTACATAAAAACATACGCTACCTTTAGTATGAGATGGTGTATGTAATGATCGGACTTTTAACGTGCCGACCTGTAATATGTTTGTGTATATGTATGTATGTACAATTTACAATAAATTAAAATTCTTGAATATTCTTTAAATTCTTTGATTTTTTTTTTTTTTTAAAAAAAAAATAATATAAAATATATACTGTTTTATATGCTTACGAACAAATAGAACGTACTGTAAATTCTTCATTATGTTTACAAACGTAATTCAACTCTAAATCATTGTTCAAGTGAAAAGAATTTATATTAAATTTTTATTATAAAAAAAAATAATTATAATAATTATGATAATAATAGTTTATTAATTTGTTACCTGGGATACGTGCATCTGCACCATATACTGCAAGATTTGGTCTATTCAATACTAATTCGATATTTCCTATCGAATGATGTCTATAATTTGAAAATTTTAAATAATTTGAACAATTTGAACAATATGAATAATATGAAAAATTGAATAATATGAACATTTTAATATATAACATACTGATGATGATGTGTAGTTAGAACTGATGTTAATTTCGCTCCAGTTTGCGCGAGAACTGCTAAAACCTTTTGAGGTTCAGCCGGATCGACTGCAGCAGCTATAATATCCATTAATAAAAAAAAAGAATGTTAGGGGATAAATATTTATCTTTTATATCATTTATTTCATTTCATTTATTTTGAGAATGAATGAATGAAAATGTAGAGATATATATATATATATAATAAAAATATATATATATAATAAAAATATATATATATAAAAAGTAATAATAATAATTATATAGATATATAATTTTAAACCTTCATTAGCTTTATCATCAACGATGAGATAAGAATAGTTATGGTTGAAAATTGGTATCGGAATAATACGCATCTTTTATCATTATTGTGAAGGTAATAACGAATATATTACGATTATGATATGATAATGAGTTGTATTATGACTGCAAATGCCAAGGAAAAAATTAATTAGAAAACTTACATCGAATAATAAAAAAAAAAAAAAAACTCTATTTAATTTTTTGGGGGGGATAATACGGGATATGCCAAGCGCCAAGAATAAACTTTATTATCAACCGCGGAATTGAGAAAAGCGAGAAAATAAAAAGGGAATGATGATTTATAAAGTTATATAAGTTAAATTATCAAGAAATTCGTGATTGAAATAAATAAATATGATTTATTCCAAAAAAATTCAAGATACATTAAAAATGAGTATACTTCGAATGATGTAATAATAATAATAACAATTGAGATGATTACTTTAAAAACAATTGAAAAGATCAAATAATAAAAAAATAAATTAACAAAAAAAAACTCAAATTAAAATATAGAAATTTTTGGATGAATGGGTTTATAAAAGAGTAGTGGATTTTTTTTTTTTTTTTTTTGCTATATAACCGCGCAACTCTGAATTTGGTATAAAAATCGCGAATATATTTAATGAATAATTTAAGTGTTTTAATGATTTTACTGTAGTTTATTTTATATAGTGGTATCACAAATTCTTGGCATTTTCTAAAAGAAATCTTGGCATTTTTCTGTAACTTGGTCACGCCTTATTTGTTATCATGTACAACCAACGAGGTGATCATTTTGAATAAAAATTAAAAAATTTCTATAAAAAAAAAATCATCATTTTTTATATGTTCTTTACTTATTTTGTATTTGATATATTAAAAAAGTATTCAATATATTAAATATTATCATATCAAGATATATTTATATATTTTATATATTTATACATATATATATTATCTGATATGATAAATAATTAAATTAAATAAACGAAACTTTAAATTTAATAATAAACTTTATAATCAATAATTCTCTAAATGATACGCGTTTTTTAATCATAAATGCGCGTATGTATTTCATCAAAATCAATTTTATATTTGTATATATAAATAGAAAATAAAAATAAAATAAATAAAATAAATACAATAAATATAATTCATGTTACACTAATTTATATTTCAATGCATAATAAATATTGAAGCCTATTTTAAGATTTAATAGATAGATAGGCTTAATGTACTCAAAAAAAAATTAATGTGTTGTTTCTAACAATCGATACCACGTGCATCAACTGTTAATTGATGGATTGAATCGATCATAGTCAATTACTGCGTGTATATATCTCATCAAGTAAATTTTCCTCCGAGCTCCATTTAAGTCTCTATCAATTATAACTCTACATCCATTACATTTAAACACCTTTTTCCCACCCAGGTTGTGTTGTAAATCAAAAGCAACTATCATATATAAAAAATAAAAAAAGGTATCAAAAAAATGGAAAAATGAAAATAGAAGTAAAGAATATAATAATAACTAAATCATCTGCATTCTGAATGATTACTTTTATTCAATTCTTTAGTCTTGAAACAAGACAACTGACAAAAATTGGTTGAGAATTTCTATTGAGATATGAAACATAATAAACAGATCCATTGAAAGGTGTTGGCTTAATGATGACATCAAAATTTGTAAGAAAACCACAAGGCAACTTTTTTTATGGCACTCATTGAAATATAATTATTGATACTATACACTTATATCATATTGATAAATATCAAAATATTATATTTTATATTATACTTTGAAATTTTGACAAATAAATTTATCTCAAGCTTGAAAAGCAAATATGATAGCATGTTCTAGAACTTCATATGAGCAATTTTCATAAAGTTCCATTCACAAGTATATAAAAATTTTAACACAGGTCAAATACAAAAGAATAGGTATACAGAAAAGAAATAAATAAGACAGTCAATTTTATAATTAGGAATCCTGATTTATAATTAGAAATTCTGATTTTTGGTTGATTTATATAATTTTTAGCTGGATCATGATTAAGAATTCCAATTTGTGCTGGTGATTTTTTTGTATTCTACCAGTGTAAGTTTAAGAAGAGCTCAAAATCAAAAATTGATGAGTTGATAAATGAACATGATAATTGATTTTTAATGGTTTCTTGTATTTTTTGTTGTTATTCTTTTCATTCTTATCAATATCTACACAATGTATATCAGTTAATCAATATTATCAAATAAATAAATAATAAATAAATTTTGAAACTATACATTTTACATATAAAGATAATATTAATGGTAAGAATTTCTTGACAGGATTCAGTTTTGTCATTGGAAAAGTTATCTTATAAAAAAATTACATGTTTCTGTATTATTAAATTAAGAATATATTTGATAAGATCATATACTTAGTGCCCCTAACATAGTGGTGCAATCTAAATATCTATAAGCTTTATTACATATATAAATATTCATAATTAAATATTTGAACATATCTGCAAATATTTGAGAATGTCTGTACTTATCTATACTTATCTGTGATTATTTGTTATTATTAGTATTGGCAATTGGACATATTGGACAATTGAACAATTGGATATATTAAATAATTGAACAATTGGATATATAAGACAATTGGATATATTGGACAATTGAATAATTGAACATATTGAACATATTGGACTATAAATGTTTTCAAAATTAATTTTTGATTTTTGAAATATTTATTCTATATATAAAAATAAAAAAAATATTTAATCTAATATATTTTCAATTAAAAAATTTATCTTTGTGATCAAAAAATTTTAAATTTTAAGTAAATAATTTCATCTTTCATGAAAAACTAAACATATTTGACAATTGAACATTTGCACATATTGGACAATTGGACAATTAAATATATTAAACAATTGAATAATTGTAATTGGAGATATTAAATAATTAATAATTAGATAATTAGATATAGTGCTGATAAAAAAAATTGAAACTTTTTTTATTTTTAGATTTTGTGACATCAAATTTAAATTTTGTTATATTAATTTTTTAAAATTATTAAAACATGATGTTGCACAATCCAAAAAATAAATTAATCATTTTTATCATTAGATATGTAACACATGACTTTTCTTATAAAATAATATTTTGTAATAAAGTCTTTATGGCATGATAGCTATAAAAAAGTAGCTAAACTCCAAAAAATAACTGGATAACTTCAAGTAAAACTATATAGATAGACCTTCCAACTCAAAAAAATAAGTAACCTTAAGCAAAAAAATATTCAGGTTGATCAAGATGTCTTAACACTATATAACAAAAACATCTTGTCTAATTGTAAAGAAGGAGAATTGTGTGACAAGTTTTGAAATAGCAAAAACTTTCAATCAAATCTATTCTGGTTTTAATATTGTATCAAAAACAATTCAGGAGAATCTTTAAAATTTTGGTTATAAAGTTTGTATTCTTCACACCATTCCTTTATTAAAAACACACCATCTTGTTAATTGAAAAAGCTTAAACACAATTGCATTTGAGATAACGATAGAATAATACAATTTTTTTAGATGAAACAATCTTTCAAATATTTTAGAATACAATAAAGGTTCAATGCAAAGTTAACAAATCAAGATTAATTTGTACAGTGGTTAAATATCTATTTAAAATTCATATATGAAAAGTTTTTTATTCTAAACTGTTGAATTTCATATGTTTACTGAAATCATAGATAGTAAGTGATATTATAATATTTTAATTGAAAATTTAATTGAGTAAGCAAATAATATACTTGACAATAAATGGACATTTTAACAAGATAATGATCCTAATCATAAAGTAAAACTTACAACTGTTCTTTTTCAAGATTGTTGTCTTTAACTTCTTGATTGGTTATCATCATCTCTGGACCTCAATCTTATTAAAAATTTGTAGATAATTATGAAAAATTAAGTGAAAAAAAAAGATAAGTACAATAATTTAACAAAAAAAATCAGTAATGCAAGAGATTTTTATGTCAATTATTAAAGAGAAATAAGATAATATTGATATAAGGTTATGCCTTAAATTAGTAAAATAAATGAAGTAATTTTGAAGTTAGTTATAAAGAATAAAGAGTATACAATTGAGTATTAAAAATATTATATTTTAAATATATATTTTGAACTGGTTTTGACCAAAATTTAAAAAATTTTATAAAAATTATACAAATTACATATTTGAATCATAAAATATAATAATGTCAAAAAAGAGAAACTTGACAATAGTATCAAAAACAAAAAAAAAAGAAAAGTTTGATTCTCCTATAGTATTTAATTTGACAATTAGTATAACATCTACTGATTCTAAAATAATAATAGAATTCATAGAGAAAAAAGAATTTTCAAAAATATTTGTTTTAATATAGTTAAAAAATTTTTATTTCAATGTATTTATAATAATATTAAATGAACAGAATTATATAAAATAGGTTGTTCAGTAAAGTTTCAACATGTCGAGGATAGCTGTTATTATCAGGTGGTAGGTTGCAGGCATGTCTCTTTATAAAATTAGTCTGAGTCTTATCTTTATAATAGTTATTAGAATAAATTGTGTATTTTATTTTATGTAATAATAATGTAAAAAACTTTTTGTTTTTTTAATTAATAAATTTGAAGCAAGACCTCACTGGAACAAAAAAAAAGAATTAATATAAGGTACAGTAGTGACACAGTAATAAAGATCATTAGATTTAAGTATAAAAAGAAATTGAATTTACCTTGTTCTTTTAGTTTACAATTTTATAATTTTGAATTTTGATAATTTGTA